GTTTCCTTTTTTTTTTTTTTTTTTTTTTAGTTAGTTTCGTAGAGATCTAGAGATGCATGTATCACGGAATCGAACCCTCTGAATTTTGCTAGAATATGAATTAATATAAATATAAATTAGTCGATTAATTAAAACAATATAAATTAGCCAATTATATTATTATGCAATTATATTGTTGTATTATTCAATTATATTAATTTACAATGTAAATTAACATCAGTCAATTATATTATTATATTAGTCAACTATATTAATTTACAATGTAAATCAGTATTAGTCAATTATACTATTATATAATTATATCATTATATTAGTCATATTATATAGTTATACTATTATATTAGTCAACTATATTAATTTACCATGTAAATTAATATTAGCCAATTATATTACTATATTAGTCAACTATATTAATTTACAATGTAAATCAATATTAATCAATTATACTATTATATTAGTCAACTATATTAATTTACCATGTAAATTAATATTAGTCAATTATATTACTATATTAGTCAACTATATTAATTTACAATGTAAATCAATATTAGTCAAAAATATATATATTATATTAATCAACTATATTAATTTACAATGTAAATGAATATTAGTCAATTATATTATTATATAATTACATTATTATATTAGTCAACAATATTACAATGTAAATTAATATTAGTCAACTATACTATTATATAATTATATTATTATATTAGTCAAAAATAATAATTTACAATGTAAATTGATATTAGTCAATTACATTACTATATTAGTCAACTATATTAATTTACAATGTAAATCAATATTAGTCAATTATACTATTACACAATTATATTATTGTATTAGTCAACTACATTAATTTACCATGTAAATTAATATTAGTCAATTATACTATTATATAATTATATTATAACATTATAATATTAATTTACAATGTAAATCAATATTAGTCAATTATATCATTATATAATTACATTATTATATCAGTGAACAACATTACAATGTAAATTAATATTAGTCAACTATACTATTATATAATTATATTATTATATTAGTCAACAATAATAATTTACAATGTAAATTGATGTTAGTCAATTATATTGTTATATAATTATGTTATTATATTAGCCAATTCTTATATTAATTACATTAATTATTATATTATTATATTAATTTACAATTATATTATGTCCAACAACACTTGAATGATTCGAAGAACCTAGAATACCTTTTGTCACTCGTTTTGGCGCACCCTCTATCTACATCATTTGTTTCCGTTCGACACAGCACGTTTACCGTGGCTGTGTAAAGTTTGTAAAGTTTGGCGTGCGGAAGGAATGCAGGTCTGATTGGCCACAGCACAACAAGCCGTCCTTCTCGCGCAATCATTTTCATTGAATTTTTTATATCTCTATCAGAGTTTCTTTTTCATCACGTTGCACGCAAACGATATGCAGCGCTACACACTACCGCGTTCCGGCTACGTGGTATCGCGTTAATCCACTAGCACGAAAAGAATTGCATAAGGAAAATCTTGGCCGGTTTTACGTAACAATCACGTACAACGTGCACGTAATATGTATACCGTTCGTCAGATTTTAATGTACTTTACGTAAGAGATTAATCACCTACGCGAACATTCTACAACGATTTTAAGAGAATTAGAAACCAAACTGAATTTGTCAGGTGGATATCTTTCATTCGGTGTTTAGATTAATATTACAGTCGACGTTGTTTATTGCAATGAACGTTCTAAAACATTTTAAGTTAAATTAGGGACCAAACTAAATTTGTAGAGCTGATGCGTTTCATTCTGCGTGTATCAATGTTATAATTGACATTATTTATTATAATTATATTATAATATTACAATATAATTGTATAATAATAATAATATTGTTATAATAAATTCTACAAGATTTTAAGAGAAAAATTAGAAACCAAACTAAATTTGTAAAAGTGGTGTCTTTCATTCTGCGTGTATCAATGTTATGATTGACATTATTTATTATAATAATATGATATTAATTAATATATAATATAATTAAATTATATTATAATATTACAATATAATTATATACTAATATTATTGTTATAATAAATTCTACAAGATTTTAAGAGAAAAATTAGAAACCAAACTAAATTTGTCTTTCATTCTGTGTGTATCAATGTTATAATTGACATTATTTATAATAATAATAATAATAATATGATATTAATTAATATATAATATAATTAAATTATATTATAATATTACAATATTACAATATATTACAATATAATTATATACTAATTATATATAATTATATTACAATATAATTATATACTAATATTATTATTATAATAAATTCTACAAGATTTTAGGAGAAAAATTAGAAACCAAACTAAATTTGTAAAGGTGGTGTCTTTCATTCTGTGTGTATCAATGTTATGATTGACATTATTAATAAACGTTCTACAAGATTTCAAGTAAGAATTGGAAACAACTAAATTTGTAAATGTGGTATCTTTCATTCTGTGTGTATTAATTGACATTATTTATTGTAATAAACGTCCTGCAACATTTCAAATCAATTGGAAACCAAACTAAATTTGAAAACGTTGTGTCTTTCATTCTATATTCTACATTATAAATTATTTAGCGTTAGCATCAAGTTAAATTGATATTAATTTTTCAGAAACTTGACATTAACTCGACATTAATTATTGGAAGAAAGAAGCACGAGCATTTTTACGCTTAAGAAAGATCAATTACCTAAGTACCTAAAGTATTAATAATTAATTTTAGCTTCAAAGTTCAATTTATCTCCAGCTGGGGGAATGAACAGCTTGAACATACGTGGACTCTGAATAATTCACGAGTGTTCTTAAGTGTTGCACAGTTTTATTCGCGAAACGGTACATTCTATGCCCTGTATGTATATATTTCAAAGCCTGGGAAAAAATTTGCACCTGCGCGGAATTCAAGATGCCCTCTTGCTCTCCCGATGCAATGCAGATGGTCGTTAACACATTATTTTCGAACATTGAGCTGTTATTGTTAACGAGAATAGAAATTTATTCCAGCTACGCGTCATGTACGATCGTGAGAAATTTATTTAAGTCTGTTTTTGTAATTGATTGGTGTATTAGTCTCTGTATATAAGATGTCTCCCACTTGGTGGGCAAAAAATCTTAGAATAATTGCACAGAATAGTTATTATTACTCAACAAGTTGTATTTTGAAACGAATATATTATCCAATATATTGTTCAAAAAAGACTTTTGATCAAGAATGTATACATCTTTAAATATAATACATATATATGTATATAAGATTATATTTATATTTAAATATAAGAAGAGTTTATATTATATTATATATATATATATTTTTAAATATAAGAAATATAAGATCTTATGTTTAATATATATATGTATATACATTTGTTAATATTCTCCCCGCTAAAACAATGTAAACTGTTAAAGCTATGTGAAATATAAATACCACGAATAAAGTACAAAAATATCATCAAACATAGATTAATATTCATCTTTTTCAATCATTTATCGTGTTCGTTACTCCTCCAAAGAGTATATATATTTGTTCTCTAGATATATCTCTGATATATACATTTCACTGCCAATGTTTTGTCAACATTTTTCCCACTAAGAGATAATTTTAAATTAACTATGTCAAGTATAAAAATAATATTAAAACAATACCACGAATCAAATACAAAAATAATAAATAAACAGACTAATATTCATCTTTTTCTCAATCCGCGTTCATTATTTGTCCAAGATTGTTCATTACTTTTGGTCAAGAGTGTATACATTCAATTGCCATGTTGTCGGTATTTTTCCTGCTAAAACAAAAGTCTTAAAACAACGCAAATGAGTTATGTTAAATAACCACGAATCAGATACAGAAATAATATTATACACTGGACGGATCAAGTACGATGAAATAATATCAAACGCGACAGAACTGATGATTCGTCTTTTTCAATCCAAGCGCCTCATTACTTGAAAAAAAAAAAAAAAAAACCAAACAGTTTCCAAAGTTTCTGAAAGTTTCTAACGAGAAATCCGGCCTGAACTCGGCGGGAAAAGTGGATAAGAAGTTAATAACAGCTGGCAATTGAGAGCCGAGGGTCGCGAGGGCCGTAATTTTCACGCGGGATTGCCCTTCATACTGCTCCCAAAAATTAGGGGATATTTCCAAATGAATGATAGAGAAAAGAAGCATTTGATCTTTTTTTTTTTATTAAAAGCAAACGACGTAATATTTTCTGATGTTCTTGTTTAATAAAAAAAGAAAAAAAAATCGAAGCTTCTTATTCATTTTGAAATATCCCCTAATTTTTATAAGCAGTGTGTATATATATATATATATTGTAGCGTGCCGATCTAGTTCTACGTATTTTCTTTTCTTTGACGTACGAGCCGATCGGTGGCTCGCTGTCTTCAACGTTAATGGTGTGCAGCTAGTTCAAAGTAAAGTTTGATTTGTGATATTGATTAAAGAGTGTGAATTGAATCCTACGACTAACACTTTTTTGNTTTATGGTGGGGACCGATGCGATAAAGAAACTCATCGAGCCTTGGAATGAAGAGTCAAATATGTCTACAATACGGAAATGTGAGTTTGAAATATGAAATATGGTCGCGGGAGAATCCCTGCCGTAGAGAAAGTTACAAGATAGGAGTTTATTGTCCCTGGCTCGATGAATTTATTTGTCGCATCATATTTTGACCCTCATTGTGTTCGGTAAGACTGAACATATATATATATATATATATATATATATATACACACATACAAAATTAGTGTGTATGTATTAGTGTGTGTATGTCACAAAAATTAGGGGAGATATATATATATATATATATATATATATATATATACAGAATGTTCCCGGGTTAAATCGCCGAACTTTAGATATGAATTTAGAACCCTGAAACAAACAAATTTTTCTTCTGGAAGTATGCTCGCGAATGCTTCCTTCAAGAGATACTTACTACTAAAGTTATCAAGAGTTAGAAATGGACAACATTGAAATACCTGTGTTATACCGAGATCAATGCTCGTCTCCAAGCTGAAGGTAATCATTTTCACCAACATACGTAATAATTACAATTATTTTTACCAATGAATACAACAATTTTCTCTAGCAACATGCGCAATAAACCTGAATTATTTCGATGGCACGCGTTACCAAGACGCTACAACTTTAGTAGTAAATAATTCTTGATGAGGGCATTTTACGAGCACACTTATACAGGGGAAATTTGTTCCTTTTACGATCCTAAATTGATATCCAAAAGTTTGGCGATTTAACCCGGGGCAACACACTGTATGTGTATGTCGCCCTCGACGAATGAAATTTACCTCGAAGACTGTTGCTGGTGATTCGGATCGAGCAACGAGACGTCCGGATTGTCCTTCGGGCAGCTCTCGAGGCTGCTCTGCCTCTTCGACTCCGTGTCCTCGCACTTCTCCTCCTGAGTCGACCTGAGGAACGACTCCTTGTCACCGTCGATCCCGTCCTCCTTCGAGCTCCGTTGGTCCAATTGTTGCCGATTCGTCGACGCGAGCGGTAAATTATCTGCACTGCGAACCTTTCGGCACAGTTTCGACGTCGAGCCGTGCCGTCTCAAAAATTCCTGCAAACCAAAGGCAGAGACACTGCATTGCAGAGAGAGAGAGAGAGAGAGAGAGAGAGAGAGAGAGAGAGAGAGAGAGAAAGAGGGAGAGTAATCGGGAGAGAAACGCGCAGCTCTCGGCTTCTGAACTTTCCTTCTCCGTTTTGAGTCACCGCGAAATCTAAAATACACAAACACACATGCATGTACACACGCCCCTAGAGACAAATGTTGTTATTTTGTGCTTGCAGCGAAACTTCAGGTTGCTAAGTTTCGGTTTCAAAACGGTCCGAGTTTCGATTACTTCGACTCGAGAACAGAGACACTTCGTTCTGCGCCTGTGTTTGTCGCAATTATGTATTTTACTACTGCGCGCGTCGCGGGAACGCGTAACTCGTTTCACTTGAACTGTGAGAAATTATTAGGGGGCTACTAGTGAGCAATGTCGTTTCTCGATGCACTGTGCAAAGTTTTTCATTTTATTTATTAATAAATATTTTTAAATATTTTATAATTAGTTTTTTATTTTATTTATTAATAAATATTTTTAAATATTTTGTAATTAGTTTTTTATTTTATTTATTAATAAATATTTTTAAATATTTTATAATTAGTTTTTTATTTTATTTTTATTAATAAATATTTTTATTTGTGATGTAATGTAATTTAACGACATGCACACTAAATTATATATTTAATATACATTTAATTAAATATATGTTTAATATTGTACATAAATATATAATATAATGTATTTAAATATATATATTATATATTATATACATTATAATATAATGTATATAAATATATAATATTGACATACAAAAATATTATACTATATATATTTAATTAAATAACATACTTAATTAAGTTTTGTCAATACATTTAATATATATTTAATTAAATTCAAGTCAATATATTTAACTAGGTTAGAAATTATATTATAAATTATAAGTATGTTATATTTAAATATAATTCAGCAAAATAAATAATAATATTTATTACTTCTTAGTAATTTCTATCCAGAGATGGTATTCCGAGTTTAAAAAGAAAGCGACGAATTATTTTACACGGCTCGGTCGCTCGTTATGGTCCGTGAATCAGTTGCCAGCGAGAGGGGTTAAAATTGATAAACTTTTTACCAAATATATGTGCCGTAGTAAATAACTATTGTATATTTTCAGACGGCACTCAAACTTATCATGACGGTACTCATATTATAATTTAATAAATAAAATAATAAAATTTAATTTCAATATATTTATGCTTAATTATATTAATAATAATTTGATAATTTTATAATAGAATGAATTATTTATGAATTTTCAATAATTTCATTAATTAGACCTTTAAATATTATAAAAAGTTCAACAAAAATAATTAGAATTTTATATTATTCAGTTTCATCTTTATCATCAATTATATTTACATTTTTTTATCATTAATAATAATTTAATTATATTTCCATATATAAATTCAAAATTTTTAATAAATTGTTTTTTATTAACATTATTTTTAAAGATAAGAATATTTCCATTTCAACGTAGATAATAGTTGCGTAACTGTCAATGAATTTACTTCCGTGAATTACACTGAGTGTACATTATGTCAACGAGCGACAATATTTAACCATCATTAACGCAGATTAAAATTGATTAAAATTAATACTTTACAGCAAATAATTTCCGCGTATATTTTTAGACTGCACTCAAATTTTATCAACGTAGATAATAGCTTAATGAATTTTCTACCACGTTAAGTGTACATTACATCATCGAATATGTCAATGATAATATTTAACTTATCTTTAACATCGATGAAAATTGATACGCTTTTTAATTTAATTTTATTTATTACACTTTCTATATTTTTATTTTATATTTATATATATATTATATTTTTAAATATTATATATTTTATATCATAATATATTATAATATTTAAATATATTATGAAAATATATTTCTATTTTATTTTATACTTATATTTTTATTTCACATTTTATATAAAATAAAAACATATTTATTTATTATATTTATATAAAATAAAAATATATATATTCATTTTATCTTTTATATTTTATATAAAATAAAAATAGATTTAAATTTTTAAATATTTGTTATACTTTTATTTTATTTATCATAGATATATGTCCGCAGCGAATAATCTTGTAAACTTCCGCGTATATTTTTAGACGGTGTTCAAATTTTATCAACTTTTGTAGTTGGTAAATAAGTCGCGTATCGTTGCAGCCGCTAATGAATTTTCTATGCTAAGCAGTTTGAACACTCTCGCGAATTAGGGTGTACGTGTGCACGTACGTGATGATGTAATACATTCTGTTTTTTTTTTTTTTTCGTTTTACGAAGAACGTTTCGTGTTTCAACCGTGTTATCTACAATTATGCATCTATCGATTGCTACTCCATTTAGAAGAAAATTCACACACACACACACACATATACACGTGAGCGATGAAAGTATAATAGTAATTGTTCCCCCGTTGCACTAATTATTATTCGACGAAAATGAAGTCAATTTGTCACGATTTGGCAGACAGAGTGACGTCAGGAGCGTGTGTCTACGATTAATTTCGTACAAAAGTACAAAAAAAAAAAAAAAAAAAAAAAAAAAAAAAATACATGCAGGCCGTTAAAAAATGCAGTACACCGTGATTACCAGTTGGGACCGGTCGGTCCATGCTACCCCCAGAAAATGAATTTAACGACTTCCTTACGAGTAAACCACGAACTTATTGATCAACCTGTGAACTACACTTCACCTCCAACTACCTTGAACTTTAACGTTTGACGTGTCTATTTTGTACGGTCTCTTTCGCGTTCGTTACATATTTCAATATCCGGACGCGTCGCGCTTCGGGCGTGTGGCACTTTCGAAAAAAAGAAAAGAAAAAAAAAAAAAAAGAAAAAAAGAAAAAGAAAAAGAAAAAAAATTCGCACGGCGTGCGAAACACGACAGTTTCCCCGGGACATTTAGGTTGATAAACAAAAAAAAAAAGCTGTCGGTGTTGTGTACGAAGCGAGTACACAGATCGATTTTGGAACAACGCTTCGACGATCGATAATTCCGTTGCTTCGTGCCTTGTGTTTCGCTACGATAATCTGTTGCGAAAATTAATAATAATCATCTGGCATACTGGTTATTTATTAGGCCCAGTTCGAAAAAGCAGTTTGAAAAAGAAAATGTCTCTGAAAAATAGGTGGATGTACTTTGCAAAAATCTATTGTGAAAATTAATAATTATTAGCATTGGTACTGATTATTTATTAGACCCGGTTTAATAAGTAGTTTGAGTATGTTTCTGAAAAATAGATGGATGTACTTTGCAAAAATCTATTGTGAAAATTAATAATTATTAGCATCGGTAATGATCGTTCGTCTAGCTTAAGTATTTTGAAAAAGTATGTTTCTGAAAAATAGGTGGATGTACTTTGTGAAAATTAATAATTACTAGCATTGACACTGATTATTTATTAGACCCGGTTTAAGCAGTTTGAAAAAGTATGTTTCTGAAAAATAAATGGATGTACTTTGTAAAAATCTATTGTGAAAATTAATAATTATTAGTATCGGTAATGATTGTTCGTCTAGTTTAAGTATTTTGAAAAAGTATGTTTCTGAAAAATAGGATGTACTTTGTGAAAATTAATAATAATTATCAGCATACTGATTATTTATTAGTTTAAGCAGTTTGAAAAAGTATTAGTTTAAGCAGTTGAAAAGTATATTTCTGAAAAATAAGTGGATGTACTTTGAAAATGTTTGAAATGGTGTAATGATTAATTAAATTGCGAAATTTAGAAAATTCTGATCGAGTTTACCTTAATATTTGTATATTTATTTATTGATAATAAAATATAATTAGCGGGTAAATAAGTTATTGATTAAAATGAAGTTATTAATTAACGAAATTTCGTGATCAGTGCTCTCTTGGATATTTCACTTTTCGTAAAATAAAAATTCTCAAATTCTTCCTTACCCTGGTGGATGTACACTCAAATAATCAGTCATCTTCATTTTATCATATTATTTTCCCAATCATTTGCGTAGCTTGAAATTCCTTTAATTGACCAAACGAGCAATACACCATTGTTCGATTAAATCCATTATTTGCCAAATGCTAAAAAACATTGTTTCAAAAATTGATTTACAAGTTATTAAAATATTCAGTATAAATATCCTATTGTTCATTCTATAATTAATGTAATGCAATAGTATTATAAATAGAAATAATAAAATTATGTTTAATATATAATTATTTTAATTTACTACATATAATATATTTGACCAAATTATAATATATAATAAATTAATTATAATATAATTGACGAATTATAATATATAATAAATTATAACATAATTATTATATTATATATTAATTATTATATTATAATAATATATAATATAATTATTATATTATATATTATAATATATTATAATATAATTGACGAAATTATAATATATAATAAATTAATTATAATATAATTGACGAATTAATATATAATAAATTATAATATAATTATTATAATTTATTATATGTTATAATTATAATGTAATTATAATAAAAATTTATATATTTTAAAATTATAGGAATCATCATCCGACAATAAATTTCGCCATCAGGTAACTAGAACATAAAGAACATCCAACGATCGTTCACCAAAGGGGACTTTCGTCAATTTTCTAGACTAGATTTTCAAGATTCGTTGCTCCTTTGCCTGTCGTGACCGCGAATTGACAGGAAGGTTGATACGAAGTCAGGGTCCGATCGAATGTTTCGAGGACGTGGATCAAACGGTTAATTCATCCTCTGTGTGTATGTGTGTGTGTGTGTGTGTGTGTCACGGCGGCTGGAAATTGGCCGAGTTGTTGCGCTCGGCCGACATTCATTCGATTACAACGTACCTGGGATAGGAAGCCGGCCACGTCGATGGCGCTGTTCACCCGCGGCCTCGAGGTTTTCGGCCATCCTAGACCGCCTCCGCTATCCAAAGAGTCCACGTGATGGCTCGACCAGTGCAGATGCTGGAAAATGCGGCCACCCGATTAGAAATTTGTGCACCAAGTGTTTCGCCGCGGCGCCAATTGTTGCGCGACCCATATATATATATATAAAAAAAAAAAAAATTGCATCTCAATCCGTGTGATCTTTCTCTCTCAAGCGTGATATATACATATATATATATATCCAGAACAAGGCAGACAAGGGACACGAAGAAGTTGTCCTCACCCACTGAGAATAGAATTGACTCACCGTGTAGTGACACACATTCTTTTCTTTTCTCTCTTCAGATTTCAGAGAGGAAACTGTAATTTTGTGTATTATTATTATTATTATTATTACTATTATTATTATTATTATTATTATTATTATTATTATTATTATTATTATTACTTGTCACGTACGTTACGTATTTAATAATAACGAAGTTAAAACGATATCAATACACCGACATAGATTCATTATGTTAATTTGGTGGCGAAATTAAATCAACGGTGCGACGCAATGTGTTGCATATTTGCAATTCATGGCGACGTTTTCGCGAGTTACTGCCCGGCAAAAGGCAAACGAAATTGCCTGTCGCTTTTCAGCGCAGTTTTCAGCAGTCGCATCCTGCCTAGCGTTACGTAAATTATGTAATTTAATGAACATTAATTTGCAATCTCCGTACAATCTGTGATTAACCTCCTGCGCTAGTAACTGATTCGCGGACCATAACGAGTGACCAAACCGTGCACAATAATTCGTCTTCTTTTTGAATTCATTCGATATATCACTGGATAGAAATTATTGTGAAGTAATAAATTTATTATTTATTTTAAATACACTTCAGACTGAGAAGAATAGTGCAATTTTTGGCCAAATATTGTCGACTTTTGGAATTCATTCGGTATATCACTGGATAGAAATTACTAAAAAGTAATAAATTTATTATTTCGTTTCGCCTATATTTCACTGTACTTGAAACTGAGAAAATTGCAATTTTGGGCCAAATATTGCGTGGCACGTCATCTCAGCGCGAGAGGTTAAGTAACGATAATACGACGGGAACAATAAATCCCAAATAAACGATTGAATCTTATAGTCTGTCAATGATCGGACAATTCTATTCTCAGTATCTTTTGAACAACGAATTGTTCGGACAATACACAACAATTTTGCAACGTAAAATAATCATTTATAAACGAACTTTTGTTAGTGCGATATCTGCCTGTTCGTCGGTACCTGTTCCGTAAGGTTTTCGTTTCGTTCGTTCATCTCTCACTCTCGTTTAAACATTACCGTTTCATTTTGTATAATCATGTAACTGCGGATATCGAGTGATTTGCAATTATGCAAAATGGTGCTTACAATACGTTAATTAACGATCGTTTCTCGTTATGTATGCGCGTGTATTATTATACACATATATTATCCTCGGATGAAACGCAAAGTGTAATAATAATACGTACTTTCATCTTTGATGTAACATCACGTACAACGAAGATGATAAAAATCTGTGGAGAATCCAGTTCGCGTTCAATACAATAATATTGACCGTCGTTTTCTTCTACAAAGTTACGCTAGTGGATCCGAATTTATCTAGGAAACCATCTTAATCTGACAATCTCTGTGTGCAAGATCTATTTTAACCAAAAATTCATTCTGTTTCCATTGAATTATGTTATAAATACTTAAACAATAATACTGAAACAATAATAATATTGAAATAATTTGTCACATCATTATTGAATACTTAAGAATTTTATATTGAAAATTTCGCCAACTAATCTGACATTCGATAAGTAACGACAGATTGAAAGAATCAATTGCAAATTAAATCAACTGTAAAATTTCATCCGAGTGATTGCTATCGTCGCTATAGCGATAATAATCTCCCACGGAAAGCATTTAGACGTGAACGTTATGCGTAAAATTTAACGACAAATGCGACGACAACTCTTATTTAAACAGTCGTAAGCGTTTCTTTCAAAGTGGGCCAAGCATCTTTACCTGGTGACAGAGAGATAACAATAATCGTAAATGCAAAGCGTCGGTGGTGATTTTCTGCTGTGCGCACATTATCCTTACGTCAATTCTGTGTGTTGCTTTTGAATCACGCGTTGCCACTCGTGTGCAGAGTCGCATCACCATTTGCTAAATGTGCGAAGAGAGACTTGTGCTTGTCAGTCAGAAATTGATTGCAGTAACACACGTGTGTGACTAGTCGAAAGCGTACAACAGTTTTACCCGATGTCGACACAGTTCCAAGCAAGTCAAACAATATTTATACGAAACTAAAAGGAGAAAAAAAAAAATCGATGCAAATGAAAGGAGGAACGATTGGCTAACATTTCTATTGGGGTGAAAGTCGAAAATCTCTCGATTAATCGTCTTCTCGTTTATAGGTTGGTTACGTTCGTGCTGCGAGAGAACAAAGGCAAGTCGCAACATCTGTTGCTTCCTGTTTTTATTTTATTTTCATTGAATTTTTTTTTTTTTTCATTGAATTCTTTTTTCCGCGGAAAAATTAATTTTTTTCCATCCGCGTAAAACGTTTCATTTGTAACGTTTCATTTCTCTCTCTCTCTCTCTCTCTCTCTCTCTTTCTCTCTTTTTAAATTAAATGAAACGAAGGGACGAGCTCTCGTTTCACTCGCACGCTGTAATTATTCGCTTTTCTCACTTCAATTAACGAAGGACCTCGGAATTGTAATTCTCCCGGAGGAGAGAGGCTCGAGTTCACAGTTTTTGTTTCGCATCGTTCCGATATCCTTTGATCAACGATGTCAGTCCGCTAACAATGTAATTTTCACCAATGCGTCGTTATCAACGTGAACACGGAGGATTTCAGAGGTGGAATTTCCCCGGGAGAGGAAGAATTCGAGTTCACTTCGTTCCGTATCGTATCGATTCTTTAATTAACGATCCCACTCGTTGTCGATGTAACTTTTTACCGATATATATATGTATATATATGTATATATAAAGGGTGAGTCTCGTAACGTGACGACATTAAATAACTCATAAAATATTGGTTGTACGAAAAAATGTTTCAGATAAAAGTTGCATGGTTTTCAGGGAGACACATGCATACTGCAATCAGTTTTATATTATTTTGCTTTTTTATCAAGGTACGAAGGTCACTTTCAATCTTTCAAATGGAATAGTGAATATTTCTTCCCGAATTCGGATAAAGCGTTGAATTCTACGTGAAAAAAATATTATACCAAGTAGGGTCTAAAATACATAGTTACTGAGATCAACGGTTTTTTCTAATACAATGTAAGAAAATATTTTGCTAATATCTCAGTAACTATGTATTTTAGACGCTATTTGGTATAATAGTATTATATATTTTATATAATAGTATTAAAATACTATTATTATAATAGTATTAAATACTATTATTATACTAGTATGCTATTATAATATTACTATTATAATATTAATATTATACTATTTAATACTATTATAATATACTAGTATATTATTATAATACTATTATAATATAATATACTAGTATACTATTATAATAATACTATTATTATACTAGTATACTAATATAATATACAAGTATACTATTATAATAATACTATTATTATAATAGTATACTAATATAATATACTAGTATACTATTATAATAATACTATTATTATACTAGTATACTATTATAATACTATTATACTATTTAATACTATTATAATAATAGTATAAAATACTATTATTATAATAGTATTAAAATACTATTATTTCGTTTGGTATAATAATATTTTTTACATAGAATTCAACGCTTTATTCGAATTAGGGAAGAAATATTGACTATTCCATTTGAAAGATTGAAGGTGATCTTCGTACCTTGATAAAAAAGCAATTACAGTACTATATATCCATCTGAAAACCATGCAACTTCTGTCTGAAACATTTTTTCGTACAACAAATATATTTTATGAGTTATTTAATGTCGTCACGTTACGAGACTCACCCTGTATATATCGACGGCCAACAACACGGAGAATCGCAATGGATACAGATTTGAAACCGAAACGCGACAGAAACGGTGAAATTGAAGCGACGAGATTGAGTTTCGCGGGATTTAAATACCGAATTTCCGACCGATAATTTAAAGCTTCCAGCTTTAATATAATATTTTCATTATCTTCCTTTTAATTCAATAACTCCGCCAGCATGCATGCTGGATGTCTCATTTTAATCTACAAATGCAATTTTATCTCCGAAACCATTTGGTCATTTAAAGAATGTCTGAAATGCATTTTCTTTTTTTTTTCTTTTTTTTTCTTTTTTGGTTTTAAGAGAACGGCAATTTGGTAGGTGAACTTACAAGGAGATACGATTTTTTTCAAGTATAATTATGTAATTTCTTTTGCATTAGTCGATGCAAGCAGGTCTCTGCAAAAAAAGTTTATTAACCTTGCTGTGCAATTAAAATTACTTTTAGGAGATATTTTTTTTTGATAAATATCGCTTAAAAAATAACTCATATATATTTTTTATATTTTTAAACCTATGGATAAAAGGCAGGAAATCTTGTACTTCCTCGTATAATAGATTTTATAAAATTGAAATTACAGTCGTCTCCTGAATTAATACTTAACTATAGTTAACTAATAAACATAACAACGATAACAACGAATAAGTTTACTAATAAAATAAGCTTACTAATTTTCGATATATATATAGATTAATACTTTTTTTTTTTTTACAGAAAGTGACCTACTCATGTCGACTGACGTGAAAACAATTATATAAATGTACTCGAAAAAATAGTAGTGACCTTCGTATCTTTCGACAATCTAAATTTTGAGAAGATAAATTACTGCTCTCTCAAGACAAAGAAAAATGCATTCGACACATTTTTCTGTCCAATAGAATTGGAAATGTCTAATAGTTTCTGAGACAATTGCACTTATAAATTAAAATGGGACATCCTATATATATATACATACATATTATCGTCTGTTTCACCGACAAAATGTGAATTTCGGTCAAATTATTTAAAAATTACTATACATCTTTCACTTTG